TCTTTCCCTCTCCATCCTACAAATGCCAAACGGGATAATATGCATTCCTCAATGACTTAAAACCTCTCAAGGCTCCATTTGGCTTTCCTATACCCACTTACGGAACACAGTCACTGTCAGAGGTCAAAGCTCATTACAGCTGGAACCTAAATCCAACGCCCTTGAGATATAAAATGTAGCTCTAGACAAGACATTCCTGGCTCTGAGTAATTCATTATGGCTTCTGGGACCTCGGTAGGCTGGGTCTCACAAACTGAGGATCATATCTGCTATGAAGAGACACCAGTTTGAGAGAGGGATCCAAACAAATGAATGAGGGGGACTTGGTCCATGCGGAAGAATTTCTGACACTCATCAAAGAAATCCAGACAAGTCAGTGGTACCTCCACTTTAAGTGGAGAATGAATGCAAGGATTGAAAAGAGCAAATGTAGGAGCACAGAGGAGGGATTCTGAAGGTGTCCGCAATCTTCCCTCAGAATCATGAGCTGTTAGGACTGGAGATTTTTACTCCAATGGCCTCATTATACCAGGAAAAGAGAGACCCAGAGAGGGGGAAATGAGTCTATTGCAGCCCTATATCTCATAACAGTTTTGAAATTAAAACCCAAATGAACCTTCCTCCTTACCTACTTCCTCACTCTCACTGTCCCTGGGGAGGTTTGTATCCTTCCAGGCATCAGTACAAAGACTGAGGAGTAATGCTTCCGTGGAGCAGGCAGCCAGCAAGAGGCACTGCCCCTCACGGTGCTAGGAAAGCCAGGTTGGTTTCTGGCACCCCATCCTAGTTCCTACTGACCTGCTCCCATGAGAGCTCACAGGGTCACATACTCTTGTCTGTGCATCCCCGCTTCACTGCCTTCAGCCACTGTCCTGGCTGGGCCAGAGGGACAGACAGCATTAATAGGGATTTGTGGTGGAAGTTATCAGCATTATTCAGGATAATATATGAACACCTCTGATACTAAACTTGTCCCCTTATATTTTATCCTGAAACAGACCACACACACACACACACACACACACACTTTTCCTCTGAACCAAAAGCATAATATAGAGGAGTGCTTCTCAAGCTTCATGTGCATATGAAGCACCCAGCCCAGGGATCTTCTTAAAACGCAAATTCTCATTCAGTAGCTCTGGGATGGAGCCTGAGATTCCACACTTCTAACAAACTCCCAGGTGACGTCCAAGCTGCTGGTCTGAGGACCACATTCTGAGTAGCAAGGGGCAGATGTTACAAAATCTTGCAAACAAATATAGGTTTAAATTCTCGTTCCACCAATTAGGAGCTCTGTGATCTTGGGCTGGTTTCCTAAGTTCACCCTGCCTCAATCACCTCATCTCTAAAATGGAAATAACAATATCTAAGATGCACTTGATGATGACTACATAAGTTAATGATGAAGAGATCTTAAACAGTACCTGGAACATAATAAGAGCTTAATAAATGTCAGTTGCTGGCTGCCTCTAAGATTCACGAGGGCAGATATGACATCTGTCTGGCTCAGTGCCAAAATCCCAAAGGCGAGAATGCATGTAGAATGGATGTCCGTGAATGAATGAATGAATGTGTGTATAATACACCCACACATAATTTCAGTATTTACATACTTCCTTGGTTCTATGTCTTTCTGCAGGAAAACATAAAACATTTAGAACACCAGAACACTCTCACCAGTACCAAACCACCATATCTCATAGAAACAAATTCAACGTGAACCACCATGGTTAACCAAGAAACATACAATTTGTGATGGCTATATATACTTGAGAAAAAGTCTTAACTGTAAACAAAAAAAGTCAACATCAGTCTGGAATCTGTATGTCATTAAGGGAAATCACTGCCTTACTCATTATTTATGGGGCTGTCTGAATGCAGATGTTATGAAAAACTTAATTCGAAAACTAAGGTCATTTCCAAACCACATGTAGATTTGCAAAGAGAGACAAAACAGACTACGGGAATTGAGACCACTTTTGAAAGGTCAGTAATACATTCTCCTGTATATGTACACACTTGCTCAGGAAAAATTAGAAACAAACAAAAAAAACTGTTAACAAATGGTTGAGCTTAATCTTTTAAATCACAGGCAGACAAGTGAGTCCAACCAAAATTCTTCAACAATCTAAGATTATCTTCAGGCGTCTCGTAAAGTAAAGTGGCATCATTTAAACATATCCCATTTCCAAGGAGGAACTGTGTACAGTATGCAGCAAGAAGGGAATACGATTGCCACCTACAGACAGAAGTGGCACTCCCTTTGCAAGAGTTGGCCAATCATATTTTAACGTGGAAAAAAAAAATTCAACAAAGTCACCTCCTTCCAACCTCTCTCAAACCACCACACAACATTACTTCATTTAGAATTACTTTCAAGTCATACAATCATCTCTAGGCATTCTGCCTCTTCATTATCATCATCCTATTTCTAATTTCCCAGAAACACTGTGCCATTCAACTATCTACTTATGCACTACTTGAGAGCCAAAGAAAATGTAAGCCAATAGATTTCAAGCAGGCAAAGGCATCAGAGTGGAAGTATAAATCTGCTTACCTGGTATGAATGGGACTACCCGGAATATATCAGACAATCTGCTGTTAACTGGTTCATATGGGGAATCTTCAAGCAGATCATTTCCTAAAAACAACAGAAAGATTGGGCTCAGATCTGGAAAATAGACATATTTCAGTCAGTTTTTTGTTACTGAATCTGAATTCTAATTATGTTATGATTGTGTAACAAAAAGATGCTGAAACTTTCAAAGATTTCAAATGCATCTATTTGGCTCTGGTTATTTCTTTTCATTCCCTCTGCCTCTGTTGTCCTTGCTCTCCCCATAGTGCCATGAAAACATTGGAGAGCAACCCAGCCTGATCTTGCCAGAAAACTCTCCCACTCTTTGCAAAGGAATGAAATCAGAGAGGAAGGAACCAGTGACATCACAAGCCCAGCTTGCCTCCAGGAGCTAATGGAAGAAAGCTGGCCCCAAAGCTGGCCCTTTTTCTGACTCCCAAAAAATGGCATGCAGTCAGAAAGCAGGTACCCTGGTTATTAAACACTCAGGCTCTGAAACAGGTTTTCATTAATAGGTTCTGGAGGAAGTGGCAGCTGAGAGGTCAAATCTGTATATTACAAATCTTGAGCCTCGGACTCAGTGGAGAATGAATGCACTGAATGTTTGAGTTAGATTTACAAACATGAGCCACCTCTGGCACACAAGGACCAAAACATTGCCCTTGTAATGGATGGCTATGACAAGTAGACCTTGCCCTCTCTGAGCCACTCCCTGCACTAACCAAGGCTGAACTACACCAGCTGGTTTAAGACTCAGCTAATGTAAGATGACAAAAATTTTTTTTCCCACATCTGCCTTTGATTAGGTTTGAGGCGGGTAAAGATAGAATAGATTCTACTGGACCTTTCATTCTCAATTCTTTATCTTATGTCAGTATGGATAGAAGGAAAGAAGAGAGGGGGGAAATCCAAGCAAGATGCAGTGCAAGCCTTTGAATCATTCTGTGAAGCCAGGCCTTTAACGGATTCCTACTCCGGTGTTCTGACCAAGTTTCAAAGAGGTCAGCGGGGTCCCCGGGATGTCCCTTCACCCCCCCACGGGTTTTCCAACAACCAGACCGGCAGCAAACACCAGCCGCCCACGTCCCTGGGGGCCAATGAAAGGTCCTCATGCTGCAGCTGGGGAGAAGTGAGTGGAGGATGAGGTCGGCCAGACCCCGGGCCTAGGGACCCGCCTGCCTTCAGCGGCTGGGGGAGGGGAAGGAGGCCAGTCGCGTACCCTGCAGGCTCCGGTACAGGCTCCAGTAGATGCGCAGACAGTTTTTCTCCTTCTTCATACCCCGCTTGCAGCGGCAGTTATAAAGCGACTTCTGTTTGAGGGCCTCCATGGCGCTGCGGCACTCGTCCTTGGCCTCCAGGCCCGATGTCAAGCTGAAGTTGGTCTCCTTGCCCGCCACGCACTGCCTGAGCGTGCGGTACTTGGTGCTGCAGCTCTGCTCCTTCAAGCACTGATCGCTGGCTTTCACGCAGTCCAGGCGGTCCCCGCCGCTGACCTCGGCCGACAGGAGCACGTCTTGCGGGGGGAGGGGAGGGAGCGTGAGTGCGGCTGGGCTGGGGTGCGGTGCGCCAGCCGTGGGGGAGGACGCGCGCAGGAGCAGCCTTCTGTGGCTCCCGGCTCCCGGAGCGCGTCCGCCCCCCTACGCCTGGGAGTCCATCTTCCCGCTCGGGC